TGGAGCTGTGTGTCAACTTGGCTGGACCCCAGTTCTGTGTGGTTGTTCCCATGATGGGATCGGATGACTGTGCTCTGAGTGGCCAATCTGTTCAAGGGGAGTTTTCCTAGGGGTGTGGCCTCTTTCCAGGATATCAAGAGACATCCTGGGAAGAGAGACATTCTTCTGTGGATTGGGATTCTCTTGTGCTGCCTACAACTGTCCGTGAGTGAGCAGTCCACCGTTTGGCCTAGAGATCTTGGATTCGTCATTCGTTGGAGTCAACAACTGGTGTACTGCCTGCCAGCCTTGAGCTTCTCAGCCCCTGTGGTTGCGGGAGCCAGGGAAAGCCTCCAGCTTGACATTTGATCCAGGGACTTTGGACTTGCCAGCTTCTATACATTTATAAGCCATTTTCCTAAGATAAATTTTTCTCTCTCTTTATATATATATAAGCTTTGCTGGTTTTTGTTTCTCTAGAGAGCCCAGTCTAACACAACATGCTTTTATTTGCTCATCCTAAGAACTCTATGAAATAGGCATGAGAATTATAATCAAGCCTATTTTACTAAAGTCCCAAATATATTTCCTATAAAAGTTACTGTAATGATGTTTGCATTTGTAGTTAGAAAATAAATAAATATTGTCGGACCTCTGTATCCGTGGGTCCAGCATCTGCTGATTTAAATATTCAACCAATGGTGGGTTGAAAATCTTCAGGCTCAGGATCGGAAGCAATTGCATGGACAAAGCAACCCCTCAAAGGCTAAAAGGGAGTGTAAAGTGCTATTTACATAGTATTTACATTGCATTAGGTATTTAAAATATTCTAGAGATGATTTAAAGCATACAGGAGGATGTACATAGATTATACACAAATACTATCACTTTATATAAGGGATTTGATCATCTGCAGATTTTGGTATCTGTGGGGGTCCTGGAACCAATACCCCATGGATATAGAGGGATGACTGTGTGTATGAATAATTGTTATTGTTGAACATTATAACTTTGCTTCTGATTTTAATTTTAAAATTAAATAAATTTTATTTATTTAATTCCTTGGCTTACCTGTTACATGTAACAAACTAGCTTCTACTCTGTGGGGAATTCTTGGTGGAATTTTCATAGATGCACGAATCTGGTAAAAACTAAAGCAAAATAGACAAGGAAGTCATTTCAAATCATATTTTAAAAATACACAATTCCTAACTTCTACATATATATACATAATTATATTAAGATAATAAAGTTGGTTTGTTTTTATATTAGTCTCTCATTATATTTACTATTGGTGAGAAAAACATCAGACCCACACACGAAATTTAGCATGACATAATACCAAAAGGAAAAGTCTGCATGTATAAAAATGGATGATTAAAAGAGCAATATATACAGTATCTCCTACTTTATATGAGAGAATGTTATAGCAATCTATGGAGTTAGAAGAGCAACTAAGAGTTTCATTGTTTAATTCTTTTCTTTTAGAAAATGATAAAAAAACAAAATTTTCTTAAGCATAATTTTGAAAAAAATAATACAGGATTAATTATAACTAAACTTTGAAAGTTGGCTTCTTACTGCAAGTGACAATATAAAGAAAATGAGATGTATATTAGTTTTAAAAAAATCAGGTGTCTTTCAAGGTCAGAGCTATTTGATTATATACTTTTTCTTGGTCATTTATTCTAAAGGATTTTGAAATTATATATTCAAAACAGACTTCCGAAAAAATTCACACACATTTAAATAAAACTGTACATTTAATGTGTACTACTAGTATACTATATACTAATTTAAATTCCTCAAATTCATTCATCGTTTATTGAGCACCTATGTGATACCACTGTGGTTAGATACAGGGTTTTTTTAAAAAAAGAACATTAAAAGCAAAGACATGTTATTTTAAATGAAGCTAATTTTTCTTTACAACATATATGAAAGCAATCCACTCCGTAAATATGTTAATTAAAAACAGTGGTATTTTAAAGGTGCAGACCTTTTAAAATTGAATAAAAGTTTAAAATGTATATATGTGAAGTATTTACTGTAAATCAAACATGAAGTAAGAGATAATAAAACTTAAAAATGAAAGGATAAAATGCTTCCATTTTAAGGGCTATGGTGGGCTAAGTTATTCAGAAATACCTCTGGCTAAAAAAAACTAAAGTTGCCAGATAAAGTATAAAAACATATCTTGATAGAATCACTGAAGGGTTGATAAGATTGCATGGCATTATCAAGCCAAAATTTAAGGGAGGCAAAATCACAATAAGGTAGGCAAAGTGATAAAGCTGATTTTTGTCCTGAGGGCATCTGCTGACCCATCCTGACAAATACTACATTTTGGTTTTAACAACCTAGCTAAAATTCCTAGAATATAAAGAACACTTAAAAATTGGGTAGAAAAAGACTAATGAACTAATATGGAAAAAATAAAGTATGAATAAACAGTTTACAGAAAAAAAATGAAGTGGCTTTTAAAAAAATGAAAGAATGTTCACCCTCACATATATAATTAAAATAAAAGACTTATAAACTTAAACTATATTGAGAAATCATTTATTTTGTATCAGACTGACAGAAATCCAACACTTAGACAAAATACTTATAAGGGTGTAGCCAAACAAGTATTCTACACTGCTGGTGACAATGTAAAATGATACAACCCCATATGGAGATTTTGGCAATAAAGAGCAAAAGTATATAATGCATTTACCCTTTGACCTTGAAACTCTATAACACTGGCAAAAATACAAATGATGCGTAAGATTATTCATTGTCGTTTTAGCTGTAATAACAAAAGTCAGGAACCAAAATGTCCATCAGCAGAGGACTGGCTGGATAAACTCTGGTAAAATGACAATGGATCATCTTGAAGATGTAGAAAAGAATGAAATCTCACTATACACCACAATCGAGGGACCTCTAAGATATCATAAGAAAAAAAACAAGGCACGGAAAGTATGTATACTATACTACCTTCATGTAAGAAGGAAGAATATAACTATTTTTACTTGCTTATATTTTCAAAAAGAAAATAAAAAGTTGGGGAGAGGATATAAAAAGTTACCTGTAAGACAGAGGAGGGGAGAGAAGAGACAGGAATGAAGGCAGCATCTCTTCTCAATGTACAGTACTTTAGAGTGTTGATTTTGAAACCATATAAATGTTTTATAAAATTACAAAATTAATTTTAAGAAATTCCTAAACAACTCTACAACCAATGAGCTTAATTTATTTCTACCTGATAGCAATTACACAGAGATTTATTTCAAGTCATTTTTAAAGTATAGTATTTTGACTGCCTATTTACATAAGATAAAACTTAACAGTAAAAGAGAACCACACAAATACATTAAACAATTTTTTTAAAAAATCCCTTCACCCATAACAAAACTGTATCTTAATTATCCTTCTATTTTCCCTCACTTCCCCTCCCCTCCCATACCTGGTAACCAACAAAGAAAATTTCCTTCTCTGTGTAAACTTTTGACTTTTTTACAGTAATGGACTCATACAATATTTCTCCTTCTGTGATTGACTTAATTCACTCAGCATAATGTCCTCCAAGTTCATACACATTATGAGGGGATTCCCTGATTCTTCATTATTCTTTAACGTTGCATAGTATTCCATTATGTGTATGCACCATAGTTTGGTTATCCATTCATCTGCTGATGGGTACTTAGGTTGTTTTTTTAATCTCTTTGCTTTCTTAAATTGTGCTGCAAGGAACATGAGTGTGCACATATCTACTCGTGTCCCAGGCTCAACTCTTCAGGATATATTCCTACTAATGGGACAGCTGGATCACACGGTATTTCTATTTCCAACTTTTTAAGGAAGCACCTACTGTTTTCCACAGTGGTTGTAGTACCATTTTACAGTCCCACCAGTGATGTATGAAAGTTCCAATCTCTCCACACCCTTGCCAGCATTTTCTGTTTCCTGTCCTGTTAAACTTTGTTATTACTGTTGGAGTGAGATGATATCTCACTGTTGTTTTGATTTGCATCTCTCTAACGGCTATAGATCCTCTTCATGTGTTTGTTGGCTGCCTGTATATATTCTTTGGTGAAGTGTCTGTTCACATCCTTTCCCTATTTTTGAATTGGATTGTTTATCTTTTTGATGTTGAGGAGCTGAAGTTTTCTAATTGTAGAGTTAAGTCCCTTGTTGGATATGTATTGCCAAATATTTTTTCCCAATTAGTAGGTTCCCTTTTCACTCTTCTGGAGAAATATTTTGACATTCATAAGAATTTTTAGAAGGTTCCAGTTATCTAGTTTCTCTTCTGCTGTCTGTGCATTTTGGATTATGTTTGATAGTCTATTTATACCATAAATTAGGGCCCCTAAACTTGCCCTTTTATTAACCAACATTTAATATTGGTCTTGGTGGTGATGTTGCTACTACTATTTTGAAACTAGCTTAGACACAACTATACACATACAAGAATAAGGCAAGTAAGTAATTATCTAGGTTGTTAGGAACCAAGATTTTTAGTCAAAATCAAAAGATATAAATATAAAATTTAGAAAGTCAAATGCTTGTAATCTCAAATTAGAATTGGAAATATTAGTATAAATTTATGGTATATTTTCTCATAAAATGTATTTTCTAGCCCTGTGAACTGAAAAGGCCTAGAAGCAATGACTTAATAAGAATGTATGTATATTTAGCAGGTGCATTATGATCTCTAAGTACTATTTCCAATTAAAATAAACCAGAATTCCTCAACTGATTCCTGGAACAAGAAATGTACAAGAAGAGTCTAGAAGTTAGTTGTCTAGAACACTTAGTCGGTAGAAAACAAGGAAGCTATCAAAGACTAATTGAAGCCCCATGTAAGGTTACATGGCACCAAACTGGAGGTTCCCTCTGAGCATCAAAAAGGATAATGATGCAATATTATTACCAAATATATTAAAAACTCATTAGTTCTTATTAGTACTAAATAAAAATTATATTTGAAAGATACTAGGCCAAAAATACAATATTCCAGAAACTAGTAAATAAGGGAAAGAATAAAATATCTATCATGCTTTGCCTGTATAAACTTTATTTCAGAGTAACCAAATGGTTAATGAGGCAAAATTCTTCTTCAGAGATGTCCAGCTAAGAAATGCAGAAGGAATAAAAGAATTAGAATAGCATCACATAAGTCAGTATCAACTCAAGATCAGAGGGTAAAGATCATTAATGGTTACAATCAAATAGGTGACAGGAAAGTTGTCAATGGATCCATAAGGTTGAAACAGGAGCTCTGGTGGCATAGTCCCTAAGGGAT